CTCAATATATTCATGGACAAATCTTTATTTTATTAAAAATACTTCACTAAGAAATATGACTTTATATGTGAAAGACTTGTAATATTAACTGAAAGACTGCCAAATTTTGTGAAGATATAGCCTAATATATTGAGAGTTCTAAGTATTAATTTATAAAGACTTTAAACGAGTACAAAAGGTCACGTCACTCGGCCAAATTGACTGACCCCGTGTCGAGAGAGTTGAAGGTTATCTTCAGTGCCCATCTAAGTATCAGTATGAATCTTACCTCACTTGCTCCAGCCTTTGAACTTCACTATATTGCCCAAAGTAAGTTAAATCTTGTGATTCTATCTACCTACATTAATGTGCCTCCTATCCCAGATCTTGTATATAAGCTCCCCGTTATTATTTCATATTCACTGTTCTCGACGTCAGAAATTTACGATGGCGGTTTTATGTGCTTGCTGTAAGTTTCTCTTTATTGTTGAATGACTACTTTTACCTACATTTTTGATGTGTCTTTTTTTTTTTTGCTACATCAAGTTTGTAATTGGGAATAAGTCATTCGATTGATTACTTTGTCTTTCCATCTTTGCCAGTCATTGCTGTACATGCTGGGAGATTTGCTGATTGATTGAGAGAGGGAGCAGCCATACCTTGTTCTCCTTGTGTATCGAATCAACATGCCTTGGCTTTTTATTGTTTGGAGAATCCATATTTAGATTCTCAGAGGCTAGATCCTCTTCTTTCTATATGGGGTTCTAGGATTGATACTGCTGTTTTTCTTAACCTAACTCTTAGCCATTTATTTACTTCTACTTTGGTAAGGTTATCAGCTTCTGCTCTCTTCTTTGTCTCTTTGTTGGTTTGTTGCTTGGATCTTTTGGAGAAAAGAGATGCCTTACTTGTGGGAGTTCGACTTTCTTCTTCAACCCTTAGAGATTTCAGAGAAGCTCCTTTCTGAGACATTCAATTTATGCAGGTTTTCCAGATTCCATGGAATATTGGGAGGATGTGGCCCATCTTTTCTTTTTTGACACTGGCCTCTTGCCTTTCCCGGTCTTATACTGGATAGTTTCC